CCCACTGTTCGTTGGTAAAAGAGTAGCCTAAGAGTTGGCCGTGGGTGGTGATGACTAGCTGTCTTCCCTTTAGTCTTTCACTGTTAAATTAGAAATGGCTAGCGCAGATAGCCCTCGTGTAGCTCCGCGCGAAAACAAACCAAACAAACAAACCCTTGTTATGCCAAAAAGGGTCAATTATAAAATATTTTAACCAGACATTTCCTACCGTGATAAACAGTTCACAACCATGATCTTATTTAATAGTGCTTTCGACACAATTGTGTGATCATCTCATAAATATCACTAGAAAATTATTCACATAACTAGTATGATATCACTGGTAAAACACACCAGGAATCCACTGTGTGTGTGTTTTTGAAATTTCATTCTTACGTACTGCGTCAGCATGAACAAAAATGAAATAAGGTAATTAATGTCTAGTTCGATATCAACTTTGTTATCTGCCATAACCTTTAAAAACCTCAAGAAAATTTTGCCTGTCATAAATGTTAAGAGTAACAACAACTCAGATTGTGAGACTCATATAAAGATAAGGTTAAATTCTTACTCATATTTCTACTTACCAGACAGGCAAAGGGGAAGTTGAAATTTCGCTCCAAACATGTACATCACATATACAATTATTGAATTTCAAACATTTGTTCCACGTAACTCTGATTATTTGGTTTGTTTCGAATGTTTGTGCGAAGATATACAAAGGGCCACCTGAGTATAGTCGATCCTTAATTTAATAAAGTAGAGGGAAAGCAGCACCCACTGCTAACTCTTGGGCTATTTTTGTCTGATTGTATAATACGATTGGATTTCACCACCACTATTACAGAACCTCCACAGCCCTTAAGTACGAATTGCTTTTCTGCAGCAACTGAACGTGAAACATGAATCACCGGATTCACAGTTAGGGCTAACCACTCAGCCGTGTCCGGTCCGAAAACACTGACACTAAGTTTTATATGCGTGTTTTCAAATAGTAAATGCTTCTGGATCGAATGAAACGATCAAGACCAAAGTCGAACATGAAGAGAGCTATCGTTTGATGTATCATTATTGGTCCAGCCAATTTGAACCGACACCCTGTTTTTGATTTTGAACATTCGCTCGCTTGTCACTGCAAACTGGCGGAGGGGGAGGTTTAACGATCACTGCGATATTTTTAAAGCCGATTTACCTCTTAGTGGAAGTACAGTTGCCTTGAAATAAATCATGCAAACTCAGACGTTATTTCTTTGCTGTTTGGTGTAAAAATAAAATATTTTGTTTACGAAAGATTTATATATTCGAAATTGTGATTTCGCATTGACATAATTCCGTGGCCGGGAACTATATTTCTCTGGAACTCCTGTCTTTAGGCCAGAATATATACAATGGCATAAGACAGACACGTTTAGCTATAAAAATATTCAAAATGTCATCAGCCAAAAAAGAAAAGTTAAGTTATATTGAAAATATTCCATTTTTTCGCGAGAAGATTTTAAATTCACAATTGAAAAAAAAAAAGATCCCGTAAAAATGTTTGGATGAAGAAGTTTAATCGTAGAATAATCGAGGTGTCGGCCGTACAAGAACATTATTTTTTATTTATAAATTGCTTGCGGGCCCCTGATTATGTTTACAGGATACCTAATAACATACAAGTCCCATACAAAAGTTTAAAAAGAATCATCAATATTACAATTAATGTCACTAATTACAGCTGTAAGTCTCCTATGTATTTTGTACAGAAAATGGGTGATCTCGAACAATATTTCTGATAATTTCTTTACACTAAATATTTTAATCGGCAAATTTATAAAATTAATCAATATGGTGCAATCTGTGAACCCATCAGAGCAGAACAGTATAAAAACAAATCATTATTTTTAGGGTTAAGAATGCAATGCATTTTAAACATCTGTGTTGAACTGTGAATCAATGAACAATCGAAGTTAAAGTGGTAATAGAATTGAACAATGTCCTTATACAAAATAATTGACGAAAGGTTTTCCTATCAATGATTAATCATCACTAAGTGACAGGCTAACTGAACACACAACTCTTACATAATGATCATTTTGTTATAAGTGCCGACGTTCTATAAAAATAGTCAGTGGTTTTGTTAATTATGGTTTCTTCTATATTCAAGCACTTCGGCTCTTAAAAAAAGAAAAGAAAAAATACAGTTAGAATTGATATTTTATTTCGTTATGCCATTAGAGACTTAGAGTACGATATGAAACAACGGAATATCCAAACAAAACTTCTACAGGCACAGTATTGATATTTGGTAAAAATGTACAAACACGAACTTAAAAACAAAATATAACAAACAGTTTTGGCTTACATGCCAAGGAACTTCGAAAATGTACTTGATTTGTTCCCACACCACTCGTTTCTCTTTCAACTAAATATGAAGCACGCACTTGTCACTTACTTGTCAACCACAATTACCTATATTGACACATTCAGCTGGCAATGACTCTCTCTTTGTCATCGAAACTTGTCGAAACTACATTTGGTTATGGTAAGAGCATTGCGAACCCCCAAACACTGTCAGGACTAAACTTGGATTATTTTAAGAGGTGACACTTATCGAAACTACACTTGGTCTGGTTAGAATATCTTGAAACAAAACATTGGTCAAACCTGCATCATATTATCATAACGGTCATTGCTGAGGCTAAACTTATTAAGACAAGACCAATTTAAGACCTAGCACCTTCGAAAACTACTCCAGGTTATGGTAAGAACTTTGCAACACCTAGCACTGTCGAAAATTACCTCAAGTAAACATAAGAGCATTTTAAGACATACACCGTCATAAAGTAACCCATGTTATGGTAAGAACTTTGTAAGACATAGCATTGTCGTAAACTACTCCAAGTTATAATAAGAGCGTTGTAAAACCTGATACTGTCAAAAACTACTCCAGGTTATGGAAAGAGCAGTGTAAGACCTAGCACGCGTAAAGTAATCCAGATTATGGTAAGAACATGGCATGAGTTAGCACGTCGTAAGCTACTCCAATTTGTGGTAAGAGCAATGTAAGACCTAGCACTGTCGTAAAGTACTCCAGATTATGGTAAGAACATGGCATGAGTTAGCACGTCGTAAGCTACTCCAATTTGTGGTAAGAACAATGTGAGACCTAGCACTGTCGTAAAGTAATCCAGATTATGGTAAGAACATGGCATGAGTTAGCACGTCGTAAGCTACTCCAATTTGTGGTAAGAGCAATGTGAGACCTAGCACTGTCACACATTTCCTCGTTATCATAGAATACTGTTAATAGTACACTTGGAAACGATAATAGTAATGTAAGACCTAAACTGGTTGATACTACACATGGTTATGGTAAAAGAGCATTACAAGACTAAGCATTTGTCAAAATTATATTTGATTATGACAGTTTCATTGAAAGACCTAACATAAGTCAAAACTACACCTGGTTACAATAAGAGTTTTGTTGCCTAATATAATTGAATTTCCTTAAACAGTGAGTAAATTATTTCAGTCATGCACAGTTAAGGAACAGAAATGTTTACAATGATAAGTGAATCAGACAACAAAGGGAAACGTGAAAGTTTCGATTAAACACCCTATGATGCATAGTAGATAATAGATACCTGTCTAAGCTTTACCAATAACATTTCCAAAATCAAAACACAAGCCTTGATACACTGATGATCGTAAGGTTACTTTAATACATACAGGCAAATAAAAATATATCATCAGGTTTATATTATTATTTCTGTCCTTGATTACCCCTATAAATATATTTAAATAGATAAAACGTGAAAAATCTATATGAACATGTAGGTTTGGTATTCTTAGATATCTCTTTGTCAATTAAAATATTCTACTATTTTCTGTCCGTTACATTCAAATATAAAAACTAGACATGCTACTTTAATGGTTATTTTCTTAAGTAAAATTATTATTTAGGTGAAAAAAGTATGTTCAAACGAAATGATATTTTATTTTACATAAAAAATAACAACGTACAATATTCTTATACTAAATATGGTAAGTTGTTGCTAAGAGACAATTTAGTTTGTAAACTATACGCAAAACTTTACACGTGCTGTCAATAAAATACTAAAACAAACTTGTGATAATCTATGCTGTTACTTTATTGTCATAAGAACAAATTCCAAATTATACTTCTGTTTAAACAGAAATTTATTATACTTTGAAAAATTACAGAATTTGTAAGCCAGTTCTATTTGGTATAAACTGTTGGCACATGACTGAACTATCTAGATTCATATATCTCTTTAACTTGTAACAAATATGATGAAATGTCAGTCTATAACTTTGTATTCATGCGCACAGAAAGGATACTATATAACAATCTTAACCAGAGAGCCGCTTAATTGATTATCATTTTCTATAACTGCACGTAGTGAGTACGCGTACTTAAAACCATTTTCGTTTAAAACGGTGTTTTGAAACTATCCAAATTTCAATTTGACTCAAATTCTTCATTTTTCACAAAATTAAAAAAAAAACATTCTAGCTCACTCCAAAGAATAAAGTTCATCTTATGATGTGGAATATTTGCTTTCATCAGCCCAGCTTGAGAAGATAACCGATGAAGCTAAGTACAATTTTGTTAGTAACTAGATCACGTAAAATAGTTATTCCTGAAGAAACACTCAACTGTTTATATTGGGAATCGTAATGTTATAGTCTAGGATGACAAACGTATTCAAGTGTTAGACTTAGTTTTAATAAACATCTTGTAAAATACATGTACATCTTAAATATGTCTGTTAAGTAATTTATAAAGTACCTTTTACGTCTAAAAAAATGTGCCTTCTACCGGAAATAAACACGAAGGTTTGATAAAGGCAAACAAACATATTACCAACAGCGGAAAATACAGACGCCGCGTCTTCTACTTACCTTGATGTGTAATTTGTCTGAAGTCCTGGCTATTTTTTTCTGATGGTACCCAATGACCCATGCCAAAAGGCTCCAAAGCACACAATATCAGTAACGTAAGGAGAATTTCCTTTCTGCATCTACACCTCAGTGGTACTTCAATGTTTGATGAAAATGCAGCTCTCAGCATCATGAGAACACTGATGCAGACTAGATCACTCGCAAAGCAAATTCATTTCATTTCCAAAGATCTTTCATCTGTTATTTGATCATAAGAACTTGAGTCACCTACTTTTAGTCTCAAGCAGAAACATATTCACCGTTAACGATGTGTTTACCTATAGAATAAAATAATTACCAATTATACAAGATTTGGATCTTTCAGAATACTAAGATTTTCTTGCTAAAACAACAAAAAAAATTCTTACGTCAACTGAAAATAAATTACCTGCTCTACTGATAAAAAAGTTATAACAGAAAATTAAATATCCCAATGACGCTCTAACAGACACAAGTACACAAATAAAACATTCATAATATAAGACTATATAATAGATACAATACTATTAACGTTTGTTAGTTTGTTGAATTTCGCGCAAATTTCAGGTTCTATCTGCGCTAACCGTCTATAATTTTGAAGTGACAGACTAGTGGGAAGGGAGTTACTCAACACTACTTTTTGAGATGTTCTTTATCAACGTATAGTAAGATTAAATGTCACATTATTACGTCTCCGCGGCTGAACGGGCAAGAATGTTTAGTTGCGGAATTCCAACCAGCGACCCGAAGTTGTGATCAGAGCACCCTAACCACCAGGCCATATCAGGCCTTACTATTAACTAGTGTATAGCCCGTCAAAAATAACGGGGCAAGTACTACCACCCCCACCCCATAAGTATACCCTAACCTCACATTTCATAGCTAACTGAAATAAATTTTGCGAAATAAAGCCTGACCAACAAAGAAACAGAAAACTGCAGTCGAGGCAGTCAAACGTAGATAAATTCCTTTGTGAGCCAATCAAAATTAAGATTATTCATGGAATTAATTTGTGGCGTATTCATAGAATAATTATTGGTAAAAATCAGTTAGAATAACAACTTCTAATATATAGAAAAGCCAGTGCGTTTTAGTAACGCTACGTTCCAACAATGGCTTTTATGTCATGTTATATAGTAACAAAAGTATAACCTAATATTTTTGTTAGTCTAAGTCCTGAAAGTATAAAATGAAATGTATAAACAACAAAACTGGAAAAATATTTGTTGATTTCTTAATTTAGTTTCCATTGATTGAAGATGTTTTTATTATTATTAAAACTTTGGTGTTATTTTTACTTTCATGACACATTTTATGCACTTGGGTCAAGGCTAGGTGATCCCACACCTTTTTTACTTTAGGCTCATTATACCAACACTCAGTACACTTATAAGGTTTCACGACAACCCCCCCCCCCCCATCACGGCCCCTTTGCACCCCCGTCACTAAAATTGCAATGGGCAGACAATAACCGAACTATTTTATCTGGATAAATGCATTTTGGCTTTTATAACTCCTCCTATTTCGAAAAATAAAGCGTCACGTGACACACGTTGGCTTTTATATAGGTTAAATATAGGAAATGTTCGAGGCATTATCTAATATACTAGAATGTTATGTAATGCAGAGAAGAGCTGCAAGAACATGAGTGAACGGAGTAACAGAAAACGTTATTTTAGGACTTTGTGGATTTTCGCTAGAAATTAAACGCTTCTTTATGTCTGAAAAACCCAATTTTATCGAAAATAGTCAAAACGTACGTTTGTTTGTTTGCTTCTGTTCAAGATATTCGAGCAAAACTACTCAATGGCTATCTACTTTAGCTATCTCTATTTCTGAACTGATAGACTAGAGGGAAAATATCTAGTGAAGAGCAGTTACCACCAACTCTTAACTGACCGAATAATGGGATTTGACTTGCACTCTTAGAACGAGACCAGAGTGCTGAGCGTATTTTTTTTTACGTTGTCGAGGAACACAAGTGATGGATCTGGCATGCTAACCCTTCTGCTGCGCTCCGCCCTAAAGCTCTTATATAAATGGATGGCTTATTATGCATTAACCCCTACCAATATTCAAACTGTTAAGTTTAGCATATATTAATTTATGATTTGTCTACAGCATTAATATATGTTGTTATTCTGGGTTTGATCGCTTTATTTACTCAAAAATTACTAAATCATTGTTTAGTTTTAGCGTGTCTCATCTTGTAATATGTTCCTAAAACAGTTTAATTTGATCATGTTTTAAGGACATATTACAGTTGAATTTGATCATGCACGATAGCACCTTAGTCACGTTATAGAAAAGAGGGGATGATATTTTGCGAAATTCAAAATCCCCAAAAGAAATAGTTTCGTGTAATTTACTAGCCTGATTATATCATAAATTAGTTTTGTCAGTTTTAACGAAGTACAAACAATGGGGACACATTTTTCGATACTTTACCTGTTGACAATAAATCACACAAATAACTGACAATCTATTTTAACTCCCACATTAACACAGCGGTAAGTATGCAGACTTATAACGCTAAAAACAAGGTTTCGATACCCGTTGTGGGCACAAAATAGGTAGCTCATTGTGTAACTTTGCACTTACACACAACGAAAAATCTATTTTGATTTGAAATCTATAACTTTACGTATATATTTATAAACAAACATAAAAATGCAGTTTAATGGAAAGAAAATCTGATAAGTCACGTTCTCTAAAAAAAGAAATTAAGTTAAAAAACACCGTTACAGGATTAAAACAACTGAATGAAGTACATTATCTGCTTCAAAAAGCTACACTTAAAAATATCTTTTTATAGGACAGAATTTCATAATTATCTAAAAAGGTGCCTAAACAATGTTCCTTCTTCAGAGTTAGAAGAAACTAATATAAGGAACTCAAATGACTAAGAACGACAGAAACAACTAGCTCTTTGCCCTTATAACAAGTAGGTTTTGAGTTAAACGGTAAACTTTTTGTTGTATTTGCAAAGCTGTTTCTCCTCGTTGAAGAGCCAGTCAGAATGCGAATATGTACTTGACTGCTTTGCACATTAACACTAAGTCAGAAAGGCCACTCCACTTACTAACCAACAGAAAACAGAGGTCGTCACAGACATCGCAAGATACAGGTGTCAAATTCCATGCGTTATGGTTGCACGTAGGTAAAGATGGCCTTTTTAAACTAAAGCCAGCTAAAAGTTTGAATTTCCTATGTTTCAATCAGAATTAAAGGATACAGCTTTACCCGTGATACTACGTAAACTGGAACTCTGGAAATTTATAGCATTGCTTGTTTGCTGTAATTCTAGGAACTTGTGGGTGAAAGCATAGTAGAATATGCTATAAGGTCGTAAAATCCTTTTATTTTATTATATGAAAATAATAGCTGCTTAATTCCAATCATTAAAAAAAGTAAATGTTCTGAACTTTTTCTTTGTTGATCAAAAACGTAAAACATATTTAGAGGACTTTTTCATTCTTTTGTATGCTCACTTAATGTGATATAAGGGAGTGTATTTTAATATTTCAACAAAGAAGATTGCATTACTTAAACTAGTCATGAATAAAAAGTAATTTTCCACTAAACCAAAGTCTGAAGTTTCAATGAACAAATCACAATAAAGAAGCATAATTTTGCGCACTGACTGAAGTATAAATTAGAAGCTCAATGGACAATTTCAGGCAAAATGTTTTTATTTGTGTATTGAAATTTAAACAGGTTATAATATTCTTTTAAACTATGTACACTTTTGTTTGTAAAGTCGACTTGTTTTGTTAAGTGCAAAACTACACAATGGGCTATCTGTGCTGTGCCTATCAGAAGGTTCGAAACTAGGATTTTAGCGTTGTAAGCCTTTAGACTTACCCTTGAGCTACTGAAGGGCATGTTTGTATTTGGTATTCTAAACTTCTGCTAGTGAAAGTAAATTTGGTTAAAATTCTCGACGAAATTTAATTCAATCATTAAAACAGTTTAAATTAAGTGGATTTTAAAGACTATTCAGACTCGTTTCGGTTTTTATTATTTCATATAATTTTTATTTTCTGTTCTACGTGGAATAAAACATCCTGTGTGGAGCAACAATTGATATAATGTTGACCCAACCGAATAAAGAACATAAAATTCACACATGTTCAAATAAAAATAAAATTCATCAATATCTTTGATTCCAGGGGATGTCTGATATAGCGCCTTCCAAATATATATACTCAGATTTTGACCACTAGTGGCCACATTAAATAACACCCTAAATCCAGCGGAGTTATAATAAGATACATTCCCGGACATTTTGTTGTTAACAGTTTTCCCGTTGGTTTTATAAACACACACACACACACACACACACACATATATATATATATAAAATAAAGTATTCATGATAAAGTAAGCCTTTTGTAAACATCTTTTGTTGATCAAAGATATGAACTCGGTCTTTTTTTTTTTAACTCCAATGGTTAGACGTTTCAAAACTGCGTGAACAGAGATAGAACTCTATTGATTAAGATCACCTTTAAATGTTAATTCTCTGATGTAAGCCAGTTTGATATTTTGTGAAATGAACCAGAATATCGTTGTCTCCTCTAAATATTTATACATATTGGTTAAAAAACCCAAAAAAATATACCATAACCAATATTAAACGTTAACTTTTCAATAAACGTTAAAACTGTATACACAGTAATGAAGTTCGCATATTGCTATTAAAGTAATGCATGTATAGCAGACGTTAGTCTCAGTTTACGTCATACTAAGAATTTTTTTAAACCAAATCTGTTAAATTCTTATTTTCCATCATTCGTGATGATGTAGTGTATAATGTTGAACTAAAGTCGTCTTTGGAATTCTTACCAACCTGGACACTTCTATTTCTTCAAACAGTCAACATCCCTAGAAAAGTCTGGTGTATTTGGAGCTTTGGTTGATTTACTTTCCCTATAGGTTCAAGTCTAATGACCTAACTTTGGCTTGAGGTCAGAAGTACCATTTGACAGGGGATAAATTTTAGAATACAAGCTCATTCATTGGGGATAGTGCCAATAATACTTAATCGTTCAAATAATCTCTGAATAGTTTCTACTTGTACAACTTTTGTTGTTGTGTTCTATTTGAACTCTTAAAAATATTTTCCTGGGTCAGTTTTTTGTTAAAGAATTTTAAACTGCTGCATGTCTGGCGCTTGTTTGTCATCTGCGAAACCTTTTACGAAAGAGGATCGTAAATCAGATGTAATTTTGCATACAAGGCTACAGTAACGAATGTCTAAATTCCAAATCAGCTGAAGCTGTACTTATTTTAACTT